TTTTTTTTTAATTTTAAAAAATAAATCAGATAAGCACTATTTTTATATATTTAAATAATTTTATAAAAAATCTTAATATTTAAAATGTAACACCTTCTAACTTTTATTTTTTCTTCATAAAAACAAAAACAAGAAAAATGTTTAATTTAAGGCAACATGGTACGGCAACAAAAATATAATATAATGAAAGTCTCGAATATATAAAAAAATCATGTGGCTCCATGAGATTAGAGCCAATTAATAATTCAATCAACATTAAAAAAAGAAAAAGAAATTCAATCATTATAGTACTAATGGTACCTAATTAAGTTGAATATAGTATATACCCACAGGTAATAAAATCACAGCCTCATTTTGCGCACGACCTGACACTGACAGTCACCTTTTTCCTTTTCTTCCCCGGCTGCTCTTCCTCAGATCTTCTCCTGCCCTCATTCGACTCCAAATCTTTCAGAAAGCTTCCTTCTTTACCCTCTATTTTACATCTTCTGTTCTAGAGTCCGTTTGTTTCCTAGGAAAATCAGTCTTGGAAGTCGAAAGTTTTCAGGGGAAAAAACCCTTCGTTTCACCCTAGAAACTCTCTTGCTTCATGCAATAAGAGTTTCTTAAGCAGATCTTAGTTACTTCTCACTCATTTTGTGCTTATAAGGTTTATGTTTTGATTCTAAATTTACCATCCATTTTTAGATTTTCAAAAGCTGAACTATCTGCAATATCTTTTTTCTGGGGTCTAATTTTACTGCCTTCTGAAAGTGATTGCATCTTCCCATCTGGGTATTTCATTTCCCCAATTTGGGTCCCATGTGTGCCTAAGGGTTTCAATTTCAACACCCATTTTTTTAATCCTATCTCCCTACTTACTTTTCTTCCTTTACATGTCATTACTAGTCATAGCTCCCAAAATTTTCTTTTGATTAGGTCATTCAGTTTAGGTATTTCGTTCATCAATCAACCCACCATTCTTGGTGCTTTGGTCAAGTTTTAGATGCTCTAATGTTGATTTTGGAGGGCCCAGAAGCCAGAAGAGGATATTCAAATATTCAATAAGGTATTCTATGCCGACTATTCTAATTTCTGTGGTCTTGACTCTTTACTATCAATATCAGGTACAAAAAGTCTGAATATTTAGGTCCTTAAATTGTGTTTGATTCATTTGAGTGTTCTTTGATTTTGTTGCTAGCTCTTTGATATGTTCTTAAATTGTCCAGCTTTTGCCTAATATCCATTGAAATGTGGTTCCATGCTCAATATTTTCTAGGGCTGTCAATGTCTTCAACGACTGTTGCATTCTTAGTGCCTCATCATACATTCTCTTGAGAATCTTTGAACTTGCCTAAGTTCTTGGCGTAATCATATTCTAGATGAGGTTCCATAACTTCAGTATGCCCAGATAGTATAGAGATTTTCTGCATTTGTCCTTTTGTTGATCTCTAAACATATTGAAATATGCCTAAAAGGGAGAAATTCCTTCCTCATTCACCTCTTCTGCTATTTATCTCTCTTGGGTTCTTTCTATTTGGGGTTGTAGTTTCAGAAATTCCCCTAGGTTCAAAACTTTCTGTGGTAGAAAATAACTTTTGGGTTTCCTCAAATGGTGATTTTGCACTTGGATTCTACAACCATCCTGATCAGCCCGATCAATTCAGTGTTGGGATTCGATTCAATTCGAAATTGATTCCTGTTAGCAAACAGACTGTGGTTTGGGTTGCTGGAGCTGATGTTACAGCAGGTAACAACTCCTATTTCCAGCTTACACAAAATGGGGAATTGGTTCTGGTTGATTCCTTACAGGGAGTAAAACTTTGGACTAGCAAAACAAGTCAGTTATCTATTGCTTTGGCACAACTTCGTGATGATGGAAATCTTGTGCTAGTCAATGAGAAGAAAGATGTAGTTTGGCAGAGCTTTGACACTCCATCAGACACACTTCTTCCTGGCCAGAAGTTATCTCCCCTGGGGACATTGAGAGCTGCTAGCCGGAAGTCAGTTTCAAGTTATTATAGTCTTTACATGAGTGTTTCTGGTCAGTTAGAACTAAGGTGGGAGAGTAGTATTATTTTTTGGAGAAGTGGAAGCTCTTCTGATTCAAATCTCAGTGCTATTTTCACCACTAATGGCACCCTGCAACTTGTGGACCAGAATTTGAAACCTCTTTGGTCTGTGTTTGGACAAGACCACAATGACACTGTAAAATTCAGGCTCCTTAGGCTAGATGTGGATGGCAACCTGCGGATGTACTCATGGATGAATAATTCAGACTCATGGGGATCAGTCTGGCAAGCAGTTGAGAATCAGTGCAATGTCTTTGCAACCTGTGACAAGCAAGGAATCTGTGCATTTAATGCATCTGGTTTCCCTGTTTGCAAATGTCCTTTTCAGCATGCTTCTCAATCTAACTCAAAGTGTTTACTTCCTTCTCGGCTTGATTGCAAATCAGGTTCCATTATGGTTGAGTATGCAAACATGTTTCTTTATGGGATCTACCCGGTAAATGATTCCAGCTCTCATACCAATTTAGAGCAGTGTAAAACCATGTGCTTGAATGACCCAAGTTGTGCAGCCATAACCTTTGCAAATAATGGAAGCCCAGAATGCCGAATGATGAAAACCCAATATGTCAGTGGTTATTCAGGTCCTTCTCTTAGTTCAATATCTTATGCTAAGAGGTGTTCAGACCCAATAGCAGCTGATCCAAATTTCGGGATGAACTCCCCACCAAGTGCCCTCAAAGAGTCTTCCAGGCTTTGCATTCCTTGTCTAATTGGAGCAGCGTCAGGCACATTTGCTATATTCGTTGCAGTTCAGTTTGGAATTGCCTTTTGTCTTTACAAAAGAATAAAGTCTTACAAGAGAATGGCTTCTCAAGCATGCACAGGCCCTGGTTCAAAATGTTTGATTATGCTATCCTTCTCTGAAATCCAAGAACTTACAGGGAATTTCAACAACCGAATTGGACCAAAGATGTTCAAAGGTGTCCTACCAGACAAACAACTGGTTGCAATCAAAGAGGTGGAAGCAACCATAGAAGCAAGAAAGTTTCGTGCTGCTGTGTCGAGGATAGGAAGCATTCATCATAAAAGCCTTGTAAAGCTGGTAGGCTACTGTTGTGAGTTAAATCACAGGTATTTGGTCTACGAATATGCCAAGTATGGCTCTGTGGAAAAATATATTGAAGATCCCATGCTGTGTAAGAGGTTGAATTGGAGAAAGAGAATGGACATATGCTTAAGCGTTGGTAGAGCAGTATCTTATTTGCACACAGGATGCAGGGAGTTTCTAAGCCATGGGAACTTGAAATGTGAAAACGTAGTCTTGGATGAAAAGTTTGCGGCCAAGGTAAATGAATTCGGGCTAGGGATGCTTCTCCATGGTGAGTCATCCACCCACAGGACTCCAGCAGAGAAAGATGTAGAGGATTTTGGCAAGATGGTGTTGATGCTGGTTACTGGGTTCCTGGAAGTGAAGGATGTTTGTGACTGGGTATACAAGAAGTGGATGGAAGGTAATGCAAAGGAGGTGGTAGACAAACACCTTGGTCATGCAGTGGACTATGAAGAGGCTGAGCGTGCACTAAGAATTTCATTTTGGTGCCTTCAACCAGATGGGCACGCAAAGCCTTCAATGGCAGAGGCTGTGAAGGTGTTGGAGGGGACATTGTCTGTTGATCCTCCTCCATCACCTTTTGCTTGTCGGTCACCACCATCGAAGGAAGAAGGGTCGATAGAGTCAGGTTCAGAGACATAGGATTAGTCTTTACCCTGATAATTTTGGAGGGTTTTCTCTTCTTATTTGTATGGCAGAACTAACATTCACAGCAAGGACAATCTGGCCTTTGCTTCAGAAAAGGCTTGCAATTTTCTCCCAACTGATGTTACAATTTCAATGCAAAAGCTACATTGAGTATTCTATTGAAATTTGTCTGAAGCAACATTTTGGAATTCCTTGTTTTTCAAATACTCCTTTTTGGCAATGTGGCCTGCACTGAAATGCAAATGGCTTGGGCTGGACTGCAAAAAGGATCCATCCAAGAGCCAGTGCACAGTTCAGTCCATACTGAAACATGCATTTTAAATATTTTTGTTATGCGAATTGTATGTTGAAAAAATGAAGATTTGTTAGATTTTGGTAAGGGTTTTAGAATAAATTTTAAAAAAAGTGTTGTACAGTTTTTATTGTATTGAATTATATAATTCAAACTATTAGATAGAGATATATTTCTTGATATTAGGGCTGTTACAGCATCTAATTGTTTCTATTTTGTAGTTTGAATGGTAAAATAAGAAATTAATAAAAAAATATTTTATTTTTTAATTTAAAAAAATGTTACAGTTTGAAACAATATAAACTAAAATTTTGACCATTAAATAACAAGCAGACCCCAATATTAAAATCCCTCATTTCATTAAAGAGTTTTTATTTTATAATTTAGTATGGTATAAATTTGCAAAATAGCTTACTGGTTTTAATTAAAAGTGGAAGTAGTTATTCCTGGTGTGAGATTTTAGTAAGGTACAGCTGAAAATTGGCTTGATTGAATGATTAGTGTATCAACTATTAGTATAATTTCATTTTAATTTAAAATGTTAGTTTTTTTTTTAAATAATTTATAAACTTTGTAAAATATTTTAAAATAGTCTACTATACAAAATTTTCATTAGTTTTAATAGAAAAGTTAAATTAAAATTAAAATAGAATAGCCCCAGTTAGTAAAGCAGTCCACAACAAACTAAACAAGTTATTAAAATATGTTAATAATTATGATTTCTTTAAAAAAAAAAAGAATTGTCAAAAAGAAAAGTTGAAGTAATATGTGATAAACGATATATAAGTTCCTTAAACCATAAAAAAGAATTTATCATCCTCATAAAGTTAGTTTTATCTCAAAATTAACTTTAAGAAATAAAAATTCACAAAAACTATAGTTGAAAATCAATTTGACTAAATGGAGTAAAACTCTTGTTAGAGGGTCTACGTATTAGATTAAACTGAAATAAAAGTAAAATATAGTAGATAAATCTGAAAAAATATAAAAATAATAGGCAAAACATAAAAAATACAAAAGTTATTAGAATATTTATTAAATTAAGTTGCTGAAAATTCTTAAAGTTGCCAAATACTTAAAATACTGCAGCTATTTTTGGAATGTTCCTCTGTTTCCATCTTTGATCAAATCCTTATCACCTCTCATGTTGTCATGTAGCTTGCTATGTTCGGCCTGCTCGATCTCTTTAGAATTAGACACCCCCCAAAACGGTTCTACAGTTTCTCCCAAAACAGGGGGAGGGGATTTACCAATGGGGTTGTCTGGGGATGGCAATGGCGGCGGCGGCAGCTGTAAGGAAGACAATGCCAGTGAAGACACCCTGGCGACCGGCGGCTGTTCAACGCCGAAAGGTCCAAGGTTCAGGATTCCGGAGAAGTTGTCATGTCCACCGGCTCCAAAGAAGCCAAAGTTATGCTCCAAGGGGGAAAGTTCTCCGGTTGTATTCTACACTTCTCCCGACATAGAGGTATTCTTTGCAACTCGTCCCGAAGAAAAGAATTGCTCAAGAAAACTACCTCTCTAATTAACTTCTTTGTATTGTATAATAAGTTCAAGCATCACACTTGAATTTTGGGTGAACAAACTGTGACTCTAGTGTAGCCTTTAGGCTTTGGCTCTCTAATTTTCTCAAATAAAGACCTTCAATAAGAATAGGACTTATTATTATTATTATTATTATTTTTATATTGATGGTTTAGTTATTGAACATTATAAAAGTTTGAATATTTAATTTTGATTTAAAATTAGATTTTTAAATTAGTAAAATACAAATTCATCCAAACTTTTGTTGATCTAAAGCAACTATTGTTAGCAAGCCACTTCTTTAATTCTTATTTTTTTTATATAAACTATTTATGAGGTTAAATGTTTTTTAACCAATTTTTTACATTTTTTGAAATTTATTTCTTTTTAGACAATTTTGATAGCACTCCCATCATTAATTTGATACATTTAAAAAAATAATTTTTTTAAATGCCGCCCTTAAAATTTGAATTTTAAATTTACTTTATAAAAAAAAACACTTAATAATAAATTTAACTCTTAAAAATTATATGACATATTAATACGACATTGATAAATAAAATTTATATTGATATAGTAAACTCATAAATTAGAGTGAACATGACATCAACAACGATAATCAATGTCCAAAAGTCCTTCAATGTTACGAAAATTACAAACTACAAATTGCAAACAAACCTGTAAAAGTCAAAATTACAAATTTGTAATCCACATATTATCAGAACTTTAAAGCCACCCGGGGACCATGACCTCCTTGCACTGAAGTGAAGAATGTTCAGTTAAGGTCCCACTCCCAGTTTGTTCTTGCCTGTTGCGTACACAATTGAAAACTGCATTAACTAACTGACATTCGCGGTACTTATTCTAGGAATAGTAGGTGGAATATGTTCGACTTAACTTTTATAAAATTATTGTGGTATTTTAAGGTTCTAACACAATTTCTTTTACTATAATATTCTCATGTTCTTATACAATTTCTTTGCTAAAACCTTATTAATTAAAGTAGTTTTCTTGCATTTGGCTATTCGGATCAAGTGACCTATGGTTACATTGTGGTGCACCCCCTTTCTTCTTTTAGATGGGTTCGAGCCCACCCCATGACACATTATGCAAAAAAAAATTAAAGTAATTTTCTTATTAGTACAAAACGCTCTCATGCCCTCGTACCAAGAATTTGAATATGTGCTCCCTCTCCTCATCCCTTTTTTCCACTTGAACTGCTTGCTTTACTGCATTAAAATATATATATATATATATATACTTATGTGGGAAAGAAAAAATCCCATGGAGACAGAAATTGCCCCAGGTGTCATGCAACCTTGAAATAAGCGGACAAATTCATCTAACCAATGCTAAAATAATTGAAAACCAACATTTTACCGTCCACTTACTCTGCTTTATCCAAAGTTACCAACTTTTAATCCCAAATTTGAGAATATCAATTCAATTAAGTTCCTATTGTTGCTCTGTCCTCTTATTTGTCTTTTACCATTATCTCACCCAGAATCTTCAAAGGTAAATTGTAAAACTATCTACATCATGTGACCTTGTCATTTCATTTACAACTGAAAATAAATCAATTAGGTTTGTATTTTGCAATATAGCCTTGCAAGCATCTTCATAAATTTGAACATTCCAACATCATATTGGCTCAAAGGAGAAATATAATCTCACATATTGTTCAAGACCTTGATAGCCGCAGAAATAATGAATTCTCCCTCATTGCGCGTGTAGGGGAATAGTAACTGTTTCAGTTCTACTCCAGTTCATGTATGTTCCATTTCAAGGAAGGCATGTCAAAAAATGAAATCCATACTCTGGTCAAATAATAGAAGCGGGCCTAGGCGCTGCCAGTAGCCGCCTAGTCGCTGTGCG